AAACAAGTTATATATACAAATATCACCCCCCCAAAATGTGTCTTCTATAGGCTACCACTATAGATTTAAGGCATCCTGATACTCTGTTCTGCTGCTGGCGAGGCATTGTTCCCATCGTTCTATTTCCACAGAGGAGAGTCCAGTTTCCAATGGTGTCCAGAGGGCAGCGATGATAAAAAAGTGATTTACAAGAAGAGTTCTTTTGGCTCTGGCTCAGCAATGTGCTTTATGCTGTAGGATTTCTTCATTCTTCTATTGATGTCATTATGCCTAAGCAGAAGAGAAACCACGAGGCCAAAATTAGATAAAACGACGGTCAAGTTACAAGACAATACCACTAACCAATTCACCAAAAATGGAAGTTATCCTCACACAAACCACACTGAAGAACACTTCATTCTAGTAGGCAAATTATTCTCTTTTCATATAAACCACTCTTTGAAAAATAAGTAAAAAACATGTCATAACACACGGAGTGAACACTTTTAAATTCTCAATTCCAACTGCTGATTGGGAATCCAGGTGAAATTCTATAGTCAAGTGAATTTTATCACAAACAAAATAGAATGTATGTATAATACTGCTAATTTAGTGGAAACATGAGATATTTACATTTTATTTACATGGGTTCACTGGTGACACCTTTTATTCTCCAATAAGCTTAATAGCTTCTTGTTGTTGTGGTTAATCCTCACCTGAGGATATTTTCCATTCATTTTTAGAGAGAGTAGAAGGGACGGGGACAGACAGTGAAAGAGAAACATTGGTGTGACAAAGACACATTGATTGGTTGCCTCCAGCAGGTGCCCCAGCCAGCCAGGATGAAGTCTGCAACCCAGGTGCATGCCCTTGATTGGAATCAAACTGGCAACCCTTCAGTTTATGGGCTGACGCTCTATCCACTGAGCAAACTGGCTAGGGCAATTTAAAGTTATTAATCATTTAAAGAAGATGCTTTTTCTGTGAGTGTGTGATTACTGAGTAGTATATGTTAGAAGAACACAACTAGGTAAATCTATAGGGGAAAAAAGAAACTAGGGGACAATAATGCTGTTTTCCCCTCAATACTTGATACCTAGTAAGTCTGTGCAAAGAAGTACCAGCTGAGCACTTGGAACAGTTTTGTTTTTTAGGTGAATTGCCCCCTGGGTAGATGCATTCATTTTCATGGGATATTAGTCCCATCCTCGGGATTAAAATCTTCCAGAAAGGAGTGATCTCTTGAGAGCCAGAAAGCCTCCATATTACCAATTCCTCCTTGTTGCTACATCAGACAAAAACAAACTCTCTCTGGTAATAATGGTCCTTGCTAACAAGAGGACATAATTGGATGGAGAACCCCAAGTGTGGTCTTATAGTCTCAAAATCATGTATTATTATTATTATTATTATTATTATTATTATTTTTATCCTCAGCCAAGGCTATTTTCCCACTGATTTTTAGAGAGAGTGGAAGAGCAAAGGAAATACAGAGAGAAATATTGATGTGAGAGAAACATCAATTGGTTGCCTCCTGCATGAACCATGACCAGGGCCCAGGAGAGGAGGAGCCTGCAAATGAGGTACAGGCCCTGGACAAGGGGAGGAGCCTGCAAATGAGGTACAGGCCCTGGACCGGAATCACACCCAGGACCCTGAAGTCCGCAGGCCAACACTCTCTCCACTGAGCCAGACCTGCTAGGGCATATTCTTAGTGATTTAATAAGTACCTGATTACTGTCACAATACGGAAGATGTAATTCTTAATTTTATGTATTCCTCTGAATAGAACTACAAAGAGTTGTCCATGGGTCAGAAAGGGAGAAGGAAACACCCAGCTGGTTGAAAGATATTCTAAGGACTTCCAACTAAACATGGTGGATTAAATACACATTTTCTTACAAAACAAAAGTACATTAAAAAACGAAAGACATAAAAAAAGGCATAAACCTAAATGAATAAAGGTAATGGGAGAGGAGATGATATCAAACAAAAATGCCAATAATATTTCAGAAACAGGAAGGAGAATAGACAGGTGTAGTATTTCTACTTTAGTATAAGAGACACTATGGTCAAAAACACTAAAAAGAACACTTTCTGCAGGACAAATCCAGAATGATTAGAGCTGAATATACAGCCAGAAAAATGTTAATTTGAGGCATTTATCTGAATAATATCAGGCTAATTCAAGCATCTCTGAACCCTTCAATTACTCAGTCCTTAATTACCAGTATTCTAAAGAACAAAAGTATTTCAGTAATTCTAGCATGAATTATTCAGATAATTTGCTGGTCCTTGATTTCATTTTTGGATATAAAATCACATTCTCCGTGCCCAAAATTGGAAAGAAGAAAAGGCTTGAATTTAAATCACACTTTTTCATGTACTTGAATTTGCTGACTACATGTTCCATAGCCCAGGCAGCAACTCAGAGGGTTAGTCTTACATGGTCCACGGGCATGTATTTCATTTCCACTGATAACCAAAATAGGGGACCGTTGCTACTTTTATGGCCCCCTTCCAAGCTTCAGTGAGAGAGCATATCTACAAATTCCAGCTACTAAAAAATGAGGTTCTGGTTCAAAGAATGAAAACCCAAGTACCCAAACCAACACTCCCTGTTGGTAGGTGGACTTGCACTCAGAAGGCCTAGCTTTAAACAGAGCACAGTCCTTCTGTTTTACTCTGCTTTTGCCCTCTTCTTCCATTTCTTCCCACTAGCTCTCCCTCTCTCCAAGTATGTATAAAGTTCCTAGCGTGTGCCAGCCACCATGCTGGAACCTTGGAATACATCTGGGGGTGTGATAGTGCCATCAGGGTCACTGTTCTCATGAAGTTCTTAGACCTTTCATGGAAGTCACCATTTTTTAATGGTATCCTCTTTTAATTCTCTCTTGATTATGATCTCGATGAATGAGGGGACCATGCCTTCCTGTGGCCCAGCAAAATGCATGGCTTAGAGCTGACGATGCTGTTGAAATGAGTGCGCTGGCAACTCAGTAACATCCCGTATCTGCACTGGTCTCTGCATGGGAAGGAAAATCCCCAGTGACTGTGGTTGGAGCAGGGATGCTTGGTGAAGGTATTGGACGGTGCTGAGTAAAGTCTCTGTCTGGTTTAAAAGTACCTCATGTAACTTGCTGATTCTTTAAAACTCCAGCCTTAAGAGAGTTTACAGGCAGGCACTGCTCTCTTAGTGTGCAAGGATATCCTAGCTGTGGCAGACATGGTACCGCGAGGACTCATACTAGAACGTGTCCCTTTTGGAGTTACACTGTTCAAAACCGGACCCTGGGGGCGTAAGGCAAAGAGAGTGGAGTTGGGTGAAGGGAGTTTTGTTCTTAAGTTGGGTGACTACACTGAAATCAGGATTAGCACGCTGGAAGAAATGTGTTTCCCGTGGGATGATTTTAGTTTCCAAGGCAGGTCTCCCCCTGCCCTCCTACCTATAGTTCATGAATGTCCCGCATGTTCATTCCTTGCCTTCCGAAGGCAGTGCTTTAAGACAGAACATGGGATCTTCATTGTAGTAGCTTTTTTTCTTTTTTCTATGTTTCAACTCATCCTAATTTTATATAAAACTCTCTGCCTTTCTGTGTCGGAATATGCTTTCTCCTTTTCCCAGGGGGCGTAAGGAGCTTATGAAAAGAAGCTGCATTTGTGAATCATGCTCTCATCAATCGTGAGAGCTCTGGCAGCTTTCAGAAAGCGTCTGCTACATTGTGCTTGGATGCTGGAAAGATCCAGTCATTTTAACCATTCCCTATAACATGGACATTTCTCTCTCCACAGAATATCCTACTGGGCAACAGCCAACGGCAATGTACAGCTGCGGCTCCTTTCAGGGGAGATCCTGTTAATTAATGGAGTCTGGAGGAATGGTTCAAGATTGGGCTCTCCTTCCTTCCTCCAAGCCATATGGACAAAGCTTCAGTGTAAAATACAGGTTTTCTCTTGGAATCAAATTTGAACCCTAGGGAGGCAGAGATGGGGGTGGGAGGGACAAGTGTTGTGCAGGGAACACAGAACACTGGGGAACTTGGGGAGGTGTAGAAAGGAAGGAGACCAGATAGGCTCTGGGGTGGGGGTGGGGAGGGATGGGTTCTAGAGCAAAGATGATTTATCATCTCAAGTCAGGAATCAACTCCTCCTGACTGACTGACTCTGGACCCAGAGCTAGTATATTAGAAATGAAAAACACACACAAAAACTTCAGATGAAGCTTAGAATTAGAAACTATAGTTTTTTAGCAGAAAGTCTAATGTCTGTATGTGTTACAAAATACCCTTTTAGTAATAGCACTTTAACAAACTTTCCTAAACGGTTACATAGGGAAGATTCTGTCTGCTTTCCCGGGTGCGCTCTAGAACTATGCAAGCAACACATACTCAGACAGCCTAGAAACGTACCCATGGCTACTTATATAATCATCCCCAACAAGGATCCTTAAAAAGCATATGGGTTAAAAATAAATACTTCGAGGTCAAACACTTAAGGAAAGATTAAAATGTGGCCACTGTATTATACCCAGAGACATTATGGCAAAGATGCACTTGCTCCGTAGGTTCAGGGATTCCTTTCTGGGCCGAATGCGTGTTTCCATCGGGATCTGGAAATGCTGCTCATTGGGGCTGAGGGTCAGGTTTCAGCCAGGGCCTCACCTCTACATTCCTAGTGTCTTCCACATCTCTGCTCATTTTGCTGTTTAGAATGATATTCTGATAATATAACAACAAGGACAGAAATGTGTATGTGTGTGTGTGTGTGTGTGTGTGTGTGTGTGTGTGTGCACATGCTTGCCAACTGGTGGGGGTGGGAACCCTGAACTCATCTCCTGTTGGGCACAGCAGACGACCATTGCCACACACACTCGTTATCTCAGGCCAAACATATCACTCTGTTTGGTGTGGTTGCTGAACGACCTTGATATTTGATGCTAGCTCTTGGCTCTACATGTATAATTCTGAGTATGGCTAATTCCTTCATAGTAAAATCCACACTCGCGGTGTTTATTGCTTACTGTCTTAAAGGAGAGTATATTATCAAGTTGGTCCTAGGATCAGGAGTCTCCTGATGTTCACCCCTCAGGGCACAGTGCCACCGTGGTCAGAGACAGTGTGACTGGTAGTGGTCAAGGGTTAATGCCCTCTGCCCATTCATAACTGGAACCAATACTCATCTCATTTGCTACAGATCTCAGATAGACTTAAACTCTGGGAAATGGATGGCTTATTGACATTTTAAGACAAGTAATTGCAAACATTCCCTTGGAGTTGTAATAACTCAAAACCAATTTGTCCTTTGTAATAAAAAGTAGAGATAAATCTGACTGTTATAAACAAAGTCATCCTCTGCAGTTGAAACACACTGGGAAAGCTGTTCAAAGTAATAGAGTTGAATCTAATTTTAAAAGGCACTGAAAAGAAATTTAGATTCTTTCTATCAAGCTGTGACCAATTTAGAAAAATAAATAGCAAACAGAACCCCCTCACAGCACTGACATTCTTTAAAATGTTGCATTTATTGCCCCTATTTTTTATTTACCAGGAAAAATAAAAATTTCTCTGGAACTGAAATGTGATTCCAGTGTATGCCTGGAAATGGGGCCCACTGCCTCACCCTTCCTCCCAGAGCTATACTGACAGGGCCATTCAGTGCCATAATGTGTGGGGCCAATGCTAACCCACTGACTGCCATTGGTTTCCAAAGTTATATGATCCTGGCAATCCTGCTACCTGAGAGGGACCATCTGGCCTTCAAGCAAGTTCTAGGGACAAGATGTAAAGCCATCACTGATGGATGAACACCTGGGTTCCTCTCCTTCTTGCATCTTTCTATGGGATGCTTTCTCTGTGGGCCCCACAGGCAAAATGAAGCAGGCACTAGTTGATTAGGTGTTTTTCATGCCCATGTTCCCATGCTAGCCTTAATTTCTCCAAGGAATCCTTATTTCAACTAGAGATTCCCATCCTTCTTTTGCCTAAGGAGTAACTGGGTTGGTTGTCCCTGCCTCTGGGTGATTATGAGTGAAAGAGAGAAATCTCCCCTCTCCGGCATGAACAAAGCAGTCAAACTAAAAACTTAATAAAGTGCAGGTTAATTTATAAGGCAGGGATGGAAATGGCCAGGATGCTTATTTCAATACAATGAATATGTTTACTTTTGGATTTCTATTTGTCACTGAAACCAAATTTAATTTAAAAAGCCCAGGAACCTGATAGGTTCGAAACAGGCCTCAGAAGGCTTGCTTCTTAAACCGACTAGGGAACTGTTAACCTCATGTTAGCTATCCAAGTAGCCCCACAACCTCGTGCTGTGCTCTGATCTTTGTCATCTTACTATCGTACATTGTTCAGCTTCGTTCCCTTAGTTCTAGGAAGACAGGATGAACTATTTCTGGCAGGAGAATCTACTGTGATACTGTCCTTTTTTTCCAGATGCTACAGAAGCCTGGAAGCAATGAGGGGTCCTCCCCAGCCCTCTACCCACAGGAGTTGGTCAGTCATTGTACTTCATTCCCTCGGGGCATCATTGGGGACTTCTGTTCAAGGACAAAAACAGGATTTTCTAGGCACCAGAAGACACACCCAACCTACGATGGGGGCAGAAAAGGTATGTGGGTGGGAAAGGTAGGTTGGGAGAAACAGAAGTGCCAATGCCAATGTCTGGGAAGGGAGCTGATATTTTTCCTGTTCCCTCCCCACCCCCAGGCACTGGGCTGTCAGCACTGGCCAAGATTCCTGGCCCAGACATAGGCAACATGTGAGCCTGCCCCAAGCAGAACTCTGGTGACCAGTAAATGCTGAACATTCAAGGCACTTCCTTCAATTTACTGAATTAATGAGACCCCTAGGGGCACCCACTAAAATGACTGCGATGTACTAGCCTGAATAGAGACCTGGAGAAGATTACATTTGATTTAGAGGAGGGGAGGGAAGGAGAGTGACATTTCTCTTGTCTTAGTATTTGGAACTAAAATTCATACCCACAACACACACACACACACACACGCTCACACAAACATTTTTGAGGATTTTGGAAGAGGGCTAAAAGGTGTGTCATACTTTTAATTTAAATTAAATTTTAAATTAAATGATTTGTTTTATTTAATTTAAATGATGTAAAAGTGACAGTCTCCCTTTAAAATGGGTTTGGGTTTAACTCCTCTGAAATAAACCAGTTAGGGCACTGCCTGCATTGACTCCCCTCCACTGCTCTCCTTATCCTGCCCCCAGTTCCCCATCTTGTCAGGGAGGAATGCATATCCCCTCCCCCCAGGAAGATGAAACAAAGCTAGGCTATGGGAGGACTCTGCCCAGGGAGCAGTCCAGCCACCTGTGACCTTCAACATGACCCTTTAATGCACAGTCCATGCATTTCAACTTGTTAACGGTTTTGTTTGATAAAGAGACCAGCTTACTGACTGGCACTGTGGTTCCAAATGCTACACTGGATCAATTTCAGAATGGCAGGGCCCGGCTGCTCCCAGGGGCAGCAGAATAGCGATGAAGTGAGCTTTCCATCTATGATCAACAATGAAAGAAACCCTCAGCTCTGCTTCAAAGTTCTGATTCTGATTGGAGGTTGACTCATTTCACCCATGACAGGAAATTTAATTTCTATACCTACTTGGTACTTGACTCCATGAAAACAAAGACTGAAAACCAAAGTCAACTGGGAAACACAGCATGTTTGTGAGCGGAGTAGACTCCTAGGCCCTCTGCTGCTGGAATGAAGTCCCTCCTACAGGGCATTTGCTTCCTCTCTAAGGGCCAGTTACAAGTCTGCCTGCTTCTATTCGGGGGAAGGGCTATAGGTTTCTTCTTCCTTTGTGTCAGCCCTGCTAAGTGGCTCCAGGGCCATGATTTAAAAGGTCATGCAGCCTAGCTAGCATAGCTCAGTGGTTGAGCATCAACCTGTGAACCAGGAGGTCACAGTTGGATTCCTGGTCAGGGCACATGCCTGCGTTGTGGTCTTGATCCCCAGTAGGGGGCGTGCAGGAGGCATCCAATTAATGATTCTCTCTCCCTCTCCCTTCCTCTCTGAAATCAATAAAAATATATTTAAAAAATAAATAGAAAAGGTCATGCAATTCAAAGCGAAGGCATGGCACCCCTGTGCTATGCATCCCCTACCCCACATACCGTGCGCAGTTTTGTAGATGCTCTTCAGTCAGCGTGTTAGAGGGAAGGCTGACGCAGCTGCTGGCCTTCTCCTAGAGGTGTAATTAAACATCATCTGAAACATGCAGCAAGCTCAGCACATGCAAGTCTCAATGAACGGGAGGCATGCAGGGGAGAGAGCAGACTAGAAGCTTTGTGTGCACCTAAAGGAGCTGGTGGTGGTGGTGGTGGTGGGGAACTGTTGAGAACATCCTTGTAGTCCAGAGCAAGAGAACCTGTTCAGTTACTTGGAATAGTTTTATCTGAGCAATGTATGTTTGCTCATCTTTAACCCCAAGGGCCTGGTTTTTGGGGCACAAGTGTGACTCTTCTAGAGGAAACAGATACAACTGAAGTTCTTTATAATGAAGGCAATTCACGATGGAAACCAATTGGGGTTTATTTAGAGAGATAGTAACTAAAACTTGATGTTGCTATCGCAAAAAGAATTAGTTCTGAGTTCTGGCTGGGAGTTTACCTTGTACCAAATAATACATCATGTGGGTGTGACTCTCTAGATTGCATGATGGATATTCTGGGTCCTTCCATTCCTGAGCTTTGCATTTTGGCTGCCATACCATTTTTGAGGGCATGGCGTGCACAGAGCATGCTGGAAACATTGCCTAAAAAGATGCTCGTGTTTCTTATTCACTGGATTTAAACCACAGATTATAGTGCATGGTTTTCCAACAAATGCAATTATAAGACGTAGTTCGTGGCTCACTCTGCCACCCCCTGTGTGCTGGCAAGCACTCAGCGGCCTGCATCATACAATGCCAACATGGAGGTCCCTGTGGTATATTTATTTTAAAGATCATTCCAGTGTTCAATAGTTAAGTCTTTAGAAATAGAGTTTCTATTTATGCGCTCTTTAATCGGGCTTGGGAATAAACTATCCAGTCACATGAGGAAAACAAACTCTTCCTGAGGCAGACTCCATGCCCAGGAAGGGCCTGGTTTCCCATCAACTGGTGGTCAAGGACTCCTAATACTCAAGGATCAAACTGTTTAGGGAAATTGAGAGACCAGAATGTAATTTCCTGTGATTTATTTAATCTTTCTCTCAGAGTATTATCCAGAGGAATAGCAAAGGGTCTGTTCTCTAACATATCTCACAAGAAACACATAAATTTGGCTTTCCACCCATTCCTTTGGAATTTTTCTGGGGATTACTTCAAGGTGACAAAGGTCAGCAATCTGCAATGTCAAGAATGACAAAATTCAAAGGAAAAAGAGAGAGATCCTCCAAATAGCACTCACCGCCTTATTCTTTCCTTTGCTAGCAGAGCTCACGGGGTTTCCCTTGGTGTCTGTCGTCTTCCTTCCAAATGAGGTTAAGGGCAGTGTGCAAGTCTTCAGCTGGTTGACCGCCTGATAATTATTATTATTGTTCTGGTTGCCACTGAGTGTCTCCATGATGGATCGGAAAGTCCCAAAAGGTCTTTTTAGCTGATCCCCTGATTCGCTACTTGTGGAGGTCCGCTGGAGGGTCCTGCCCTTATCTCTGTCCTTCTCTCCATTGAGTTCAAGGCCAGTTTGCTCCATCTGCACCACGGGCTCCTCAAAGGTGACTCTGAGTTTCAAGTTCTGAGATGTCCGGCGCTTGGAGGACGGAGACTTGAGGGCACTCTTGGGACTCGTGGCCACTTTCTGGGCAGCCGTGCTGTCAGGGCTGGGCAGAGTGGGGTCTCCAGAGGGCTGGTTTGGGGGAGTGGTCCCTGAGCCTGGACCATGGGATTCCAAGTCTGGTTCGCTGCTCTCTGAGGTGGGAGATGGGCTGTGGCCATCCAGAGATTTGGAGGCCTTGATTCCGAAAGGAAACCTGCGTCCTGACGCCAAAGTGTGTTTCTTGATCATCAAGTGTAAGCTTTCTGCGCTGTCTATGGTCTCCGCACTTTCCACGATGGGCTGCGGCCTGGGCCGCTCAGCCTTCCTCACGGGAGTGCTCTTGGGGTCCTCTGAGGTGTTGGAGTCTGTGTCCGACTCACTCAGTGATCGCTGCATCAGCTGCCTCAGTCGGGCTAACTTCAGTTCCCTCTTCTCCGGAGGGATCTTCTTGGAATTTCTAGAGGAAGCCTGAGTATCCTGGAATTCCAAGGACAGCTTTTCCTGGGTACAGACATTCTCTGAGATGTCTTTCCCCAGTAACTGGCGAAGGATTCTATCTGAATCTTCATCTTTTGCTTTAGCCCTGGCCCGGCTGGATGCTGACAGGCTGGCAAGGACCTGCATCCCCTCTTGGACTCCTGGTTTGCTTTTGGCTACAGATTCATCATCGGTATCTGGAGATTTCCACTGGGACTTTCTGGAAGCGGGAGAGCATGGCGAACTGAAAAGAGGAGGAAGGACACATTGGGATGATTTCCTACTGGTTTAAAATGACTCGGCCACAAGTCATGGCATGGTCTTGACTACCACTAACAACTTACAAATCAGTAAGAATGGAATAAGAATAATCACTTAATGTTTGTTCAAAGCAATTCACAAATACTCCATAGGGCCAACCGTAACCTAAATATAGTGTGCCTCAGACCTCATACTATGGCAAAATTTGTCTACTACTTTACTATTTGCACATGAATCCTGCACAGATTTTCTCAATTTATCCCATCTTCAACAATGAGCCTATATATTCTTATTCCTGTTTTATAGGTGAAGAAATGAAAGACCCTGAAAGAGTAAATGACTTGTTCATAGTCATTGAACGAAGAAATGGCAGAGCAGAGACAAACCAGGTCATCTGACTCCAGGTCTAGTGCCTTTTCCCTGGGTTACTGAATTCTTATTCCTCTTTATAAAGCTAAAATGTGTTCTGTTGTTATTTTCTCAAAAGACATTAAAAGGAAATCCAAAAGAAGGCTCTGAGATTTAAGAGATGTAAGGACTCCATCCACTGATGTTCCTGGCATTACCTGGGCGAAGAAAGGAGTGACTTGCCCTCAGATCTCTGGGCCTCTAGAAGTTGCTGGAGCTGGTGTTGTAGTGTGACCCGTTCCACTGTTTGTCTGGGAAAACAGACCAAGGCAGTAAACTCTCTGGTACACAGTGTCTACTATAAATCAGCAGGTGTAAAATTTTTCATGATAATTTACAGTAAGTTGCTATAAATCTGAAAGCCTCATAAATGTGCATAATCTTCATCCTTACAGTTCAGAAAATTTCCCAAAGATATAATCAAAAGCACCCAAAATGAATGTAAATTTATTATTCATATGGTGGAGAACTGTAAGTAATCTAAATGCTTATCAATAAGACTGAGTAAAAAAATTGTAATTATTTCTATAAAGGGAGCTATTAAAATGATAACACATTGGATATATATTTATTTGAAATTTTAAAAAGTTTCCCTAGTAAGTAATTAGGGAAACTTTTTAAAATTTCAAAGATATATATATTTATTTATTTAGAGAGAGAATACTTTATAAAGTGTATTTTACTTTCCTTAAGTAAAAAAGGAAGTTACTGTGTACAGTATAATCTCATTTTTAAGATTATAAATCTCTCTCTTTCTCTCTTTCTCCAAATAAGGTCATTTTCTGAGGCACTCAGGGTTAGGACTCCAACATATTATCATATATTTCTCTTTCTCTCTCTCCAAACAAGGTCATTTTCTAAGGTACTAGGGGTTAGGACTCTAACATATTATCATTACTAGAGGCCAACTGCACAAATTCATGCACCAGTGGGGTCCCTGGGCCTGGTCTGCGGAATCAGGCTGAAACCGGCTCTCTGACATCCCCTGAAGGGTCCTGGATTGTGAGAGGGTGAAGGCCAGGCCAAAGGACACCACTGGTGCATGATCGGGGCTAGGGAGGAATGTGGGAGGTTGGCCAGCTGGGATGGGACCACGGGAGGGTTCTAAGGCATGTCTGGCCCATATTGCTCAGTCCCGATTGGCCGGACCCCAGCAGCAAGCTCACCTACCAGTTAGAGTGTCTTTCCCCTGGTGGTCAGTGCACATCATAGTGATTGGTTGACCGGTTGACTGCCCCCTAGTGGTTAGTGCATGTCATAGCAAGCGGTTGAGCATCCTTAGCATATCATTAGCATGTTACACTTTGATTGGTTGAACGGCTGACCGGACACTTAGCTATTAGGCTTTTATTACATAGGATTTTTGAGAGGGTCTCAATTCAAACCATAATACTTAGGTTGTAAATTAGGATTTCTAACAGAGCTGAACAGTAACTGTGTTTGTTAACTAGAAGTGGTAAAGGTATCCTGATAGGCGAAAGCACTCAAGAATGTCTCCCACTCAGAATTTTGAACTGGAAAAACCAGTGTTTTCCATCCATCCTTCTGCCCTGGAGTCTGAAGGGTACAGTGTGCCCTGGCTATACAAAGTGGATATCTCTGCTCATTTCTAGTTTGCCAACCTCACTGAGGCACACGGTGAGAAAAGGACTAGGGTCTACATGTAACCTATCATATTTTACTTTGTCATTGGCCTAACTACAACTGCCCACAGCATTCAGCTTTGAGCACAATGGGAGAACTGGTGCCTATATTAGTGTACACATGTATTTTATCCCAGGATCATCAGTAGAGAGAACAGCTGAGACTCTGACCGGGAAAGTTCACCAATAAAACAGCTATTCCAGCTCATGAAAGCCTCTCAGTCTCTGTGGTACAGAGTCTAGGGGGGGATGTTGTGTGAGCTCTTCTCTCATATGACCCTTTAGAAAAAGCATTCTATTAGATAATTTTAAATTTCCTCTTTATGGTTATGTCTATACCAGCCGTGGGCAAACTATGGCCCACGGGCCGGATCCGGCCCATTTGAAATGAATAAAACTAAAAAAAAAAAAAAGACTGTACCCTTTTATGTAATGTTTACTTTGAATTTATATTAGTTCACACAAACACTCCATCCATGCTTTTGTTCCAGCCCTCCGGTCCAGTTTAAGAACCCATTGTGGCCCTCGAGTCAAAAAGTTTGCCCACTCCTGGTCTATACACTACTGAGGGGAGTTGACATGGGCACATTTTGGGAAGGATGTTAGGTAGCATCTATCCATATTTTGAATATGTATGTCCTATGTTCTAGAATTTCCTTTCTAGGAACTTAGTTTTAGAAATGCCTACACATGTACAAAAGGATGTGGACAAAAAGACATATATGTTCGCTGTGGGAAGATAACTTACTGAGTTAGAAATTTGTGTGCATTTTCTCTTTAATTACAGCCAGCCCTTCAAGCTCACTTAGCTCGCTTGCCCCAGGGGAGTTTTGTTTTTTTGTGGAACTGGGTGAAGAATTCTTGCAAGGAACCATATTATTTAAAAACATTATTATACTAGAGGCCCGGTGCACGAATCTTTTGCATGGGAGGGGGGATCCCTCAGCCCAGCCTACACCCTCTCTAATCTGGGACCCCTCGGGGGATGTCCGACTTCCAATTTAGGCCTGATTCCACAGAGATTGGGCCTAACTGTTCTGCCTGCCAGCCTGATCACCTCCTAACCACTCCCTTGCCAGCCTGAATGACACCTAACTGCTCCCCTGATGGCCCGATTGCCCCAAACTGCCCTCCCCTGCTGGCCCGCTTGCCCCCAACTGCCCTCCTCTGCCGGCCTGGTCGTCCCTAACTGCCCTCCCCTGCAGGCCTGGTCCCTCCCAACTGCTCTCCCTTCCCTGCAGGCCTGATCGCTCCCAATTGCTCTCCCCTGCCAGCCCGGTTGCTCCCACTTGCCCTCCACTGCTATCCTGGTTGCCCCTAACTGCCCTCCCCTGCTGGCCATCTTGTGGTGGCCATCCTGTGACCACATGGGATGGCCATCTTGTGTGATGGCATGATGGTCAATTTGCATATTATCCTTTTATTATAAAGGATATTTCATCTATTAAAAGCCTAATCTCTTTAAAGAGAGTATTCTATGTACTGGCAGGGGGTGGGCTGAAGGGATGCAGAAACTTGTACCTCTAAGGCAAGACAGTACAAGTAAGAAGATCAAGGTTTCACTAAACTTGTAGAAGAGCCAAAGGGTCCAAGGCCTTGTCACATGCTTTTATAAATTACACTTGTAATAAGTTAAGGCCTTCCACCAAGCATACACTTCATAATTTTCCTTTAAAATTTAATTTTTAAGGCTTATCATCCCATTCTGTTAATGTTATTTCAAATACTGATTCTGATTTTTAGTGATTCTGTCCCCACTATGGCAACTCTAATTTGACCACTGTGTTTTGCAAGGGCTGACCTTGGTCTCAGGCAGGTGTCTGCTCCTAATCCTTCAACCCATCGAAGACCTATCTGTCCTCCAGCCCCCCTTTATCCTGACAACAATCCCAGAAAGCTTCCCTGACAGTGAGGTATGCAATGTGTGTCAGTTTAACAATCTCATAGTGAAAGAACTGACTGTAGCTAGACAGAGTAACATCATGCTGACTGGATAAGATTTTATGTTCTGAGGATTTATGAATCATCTGATTTCTTTTTATAACAACTTACTAGTGATGGTTACCAGGTTAACTGTCTGTAATTTCCCAACTATATATTTTTCTTTTTGAGAAAACTGAGAAACTGGCCCATCTCTAGACTTTTCTTTCTCGTGAGCTTTAGAAGTTGGGGGATGATTCTACGCCTGCCCTCTAATCTGGCCCAGAGATGGGAACACACAGAGAGCTCTCTCTCTCTTTGTCCAACAGCTTAAATTCCTGGCTTAGAAAACTTGCTTTGCATTTTTCTTATTTGTGTGAACATCATTTGGCCTCTGCAGAGATGGCATCTTCAGCATGAACGCTGGCTGTGAAGATTTGGGGCGGAGGGAGAGAAGAAGAGGAGAATGCAAGGAAGTCCCCATGCAACCCACACGGGGAGCTTCCCAAAGCGCCTGCTGAAACCTAAGCACAGGAATGACGGGCCAGACTTTGTTCTCAGCGAGCGAAATGGCACTTACTCCTTCAGCTGCTTGGTTAACTTCACCACCTGAGAGGCCAGTGACATGCAGGTCTCCACCACCACCAGGTACCGGGAGCACAGGGTGTGCCCGTGGCGCTCGGCGCTCTGGGAGGGCTTGTCCCCCGCGTGGTTCTGCATGGTGACATTTGCTCCGTACTCAACCAAGGTCTGTCAGAAAGGCAGAGACATGGGGTCATATCGGGGCCTCCTTCTCAACATTTTTAATGACTGTAACAGAAGGTTGAATGGAGATTTCCTGTTATTCCAAAACCAGTTCCCAGAGCCCATAACAGGACAGGGTGGGGCAACCTGGCGAGCTTTCAGCAGTCGATATCAGACACCTCCTGCCCTACTACCAGCAACCCCACCCAGGCTCTGGAGGAGGAGGAGTCTGGGAGGGGAGGACGTTGCTGCCAGGTCCTGTCCTTTATGAGGCATGCAGGGCACAGGGCAGTGCAGAGTGGTGTCTGTGAGGAGATGCTTCGTCCCTTTCAATGGGTGGGCTCATAACATGGGGATGCCTGTCAGGAGGAGAGTGGGACTTGTTTATCGGTGCCGATTGACTTGGGCAGCACACTTGACATGTTGCTGAGCCTAAATGATACTGATCAAGAATAAAAAGAACTGGAATGAAATGACATGGCTGGGGTTGGGCAGCAGTCTGCACTCCCACCATGTGCCATGGCAAGCGTATGTTCCATAGATTGAGCAGATGAGGTAGAAGGGAGCTTGGTGCCAGGCTGTTATTACCCCATCAAATATGGGAGGGTTCTCCAGCCTTGGCCAGGTGGCTCAAGTTGTTGGAGCATCGTCCCATACACCAAAAAGGTTGTGGGTTCGAGTCCTGGTCAGGGTACATATCTGGGTTGGGTTCAATCCCTCGTTGACGTTCCTACAGGAGGGAAGCAACCAATCCATGTTCTCTCTCTCTCTCTCTCTCTCTCTCTCTCTCTCTTTCATATGGGGTAAGGATAAAAAAATAGGAGGGTTCTCTAGCAGCAAGAGGCAGTGGGGTACAATACAAGTAGAGAGAATTGTGTGGGGAAAGAAGGAGGGTATAGATCTCCTCTGTCAGGTTATCAGTGGGAGGCTCAGAGGGCCCTATGAATACCCCACCGCAGTGCCCTTCAGAAGTCAGCCCCTGAAGGCTGCCCACAGAGGGCATCAGCAGTGAATCACGGTGAGCTGAAGAAGTAGTGACAACTTTCAGGGAGTGTGCCATGATCTTTCCCAGCTAAGCAAAGAGACAGTGGGCTTTTTCTCTCCATACCTCCACTTTCTCCCCAGCACTGGAGCCCAGAAGAGAGAGGAGAATAGGAGCTAGCATGGCGAGTAAACAGCCGATCATGCCTCACTCCCCCATGCCAAGTCCCTTGACCCCTGAGTCCAATCTGGGTTGGGGATGAGAATGCTTTCAATCAGAAATAAGACTGGGACTTTAAACTGGTTTGGATTAAATGTTAATAGTTAAAAGAAAGCAAAAAGTTATGGAATCCGGCCAGTGTATCATTAGTAGAGGAGAGAGATATTTGAACGAGCATGGTTCACATCATTAATTAAAAACCAACAGCAAACTTCTTTCACATTATACTGTGATGGCATTAGATGCCACAAAAAGCTGTGGCACCAACACGAATCCACTGCCACAGTCTGACATATCCTTTGACACTGTCAACATGAGATTGTAGACTTCTGGATTTACTTCGGTAACAGGTAATGTTTTTCCCACAAGCAATGCTTGTAATTTTTAAATTCCTAGACTACTTAGACTCAGGGGTCATTGAGGAGCTTCGTTTTCCTTTCAGCTTATGATCACTCACCATGAAAGGTCAATCTGCCAGAAAGCCTCCCATCCCCCTCCCAAGAGGCAGGGGGACCACCTCGCCCAAGCTCTCCCAGCTCTCCGACACTCAGTGCAAACACAGCCTGGATCACTCCCTGGACTCAGGCCTCTGCAGCTTTCTTTCCAATGTTTTTCAAGCTCAGTCCCCTTCCCACCTCATCAGGAACCTTGGTCACTCCCTCTTCTACTCTCAGTCTCTTTGTATTTTTTTAAAATATCACACCCAGTACACAGACCTGCTTCCAAGATTATCCAAGTTTCCACATCCATGGTATCGAGCGCCAAAAGTATCATTTGTGCTAAGTGGAGTGATGAATGTTCTGAAAGGACAGACTGCCTCTCCTCACATATTAAAAAGAAAAATAACTGAAATCTCAAACGGAATTGGTGATATCAGCTGGTTTTCTTTGGCTTTCGTCATTTACTAGCTGATAAAAAAGTTTATTTCAAGACTATTAAATATTGGAGTGTTTTGTTAAATGGAAAAATAACGTTTTCCATTTTTATTTGATTATTTTTCTTCCACAAAAAATAATGCTACTCCTTTCATCTTCCTGCAGATCCTGGTAATAATTTAAATTTCTCTCCAATTTCTCATCACTCCTTTTACAACTTGGGGCCTTAAATTAGAAGTTTTATCCTTTGCCAACATTAGTGGGGGAACTTTTGAACATTTGGAATATTTTCTATCAATTTAGCTCTCCAAACAGCAGTTGTATGTGGGTGGAAACTCTAGAGAGCTGCTTTAAAAAAAATAATTCTCTGCCTTTTACTTTATAGCTTTTCCATATCGTCTCATGTCATTTCCTGAGTCCTCTCTACTTTCCTGATCAACTGGTTCTCACTGCCCAGTTTTCTCTTATCAGAAACAGTCTGCCTTGCACGCAGTAGGACCCTAATAAATACCTGCTAAATAAATGAGCACATTAAGTTTGCAGTAAAAGAAACAACACATAAGGCAACGAAGAGTGTTGCTTTCTTAGAGTTGTTATGTCCACATAACATATTTGCACTGTGTGAACTTGTGAAGCAGAGGTACTTTCTCTCACCCTGGCTGTCAACCACATGCTCTCAACGGCTCTGCTCAAGGAGTGGGAACAAAGCCACAGGTGTTGAGTCATTTTCAATGATAAGAATGGCGTGATTGGTCTGATTCTGGTAACCGTGATTCCTGTTCATAAATTAAATTCAAGGCCACATCTAAACCCTGTTTCTGATTTCCAGCCTTTCTTCCCGTCACACTGTCACTCCTCTTCTGCCTGCTCTTCTCCTGACTCTTCAGCTGCCCTCTCTCTTTGCTTTGTCACTTGAAGTCTGAATGCTCTTTTCTGGGTGAAGAGGTCTACCTGGCTTTTCCATTCGCATGAAGACCCTTGCTTGGTCCTCTTACTGTGTGCTGTTATGATGGCGGCACCTGGGCAAGCTCAATTTCGTGCAGCTCTGCATTTGGCTGAGGGATAAGGTGCCAACTCCTCTTGTGGAAATCCTACCCTCTCTAAGAAGCCCTCTCTGATGCCCCTCATGTGGTTTGGGACAGGGGGAGAACCTCCCTCCCCTCTCCTGTGGTTCTGTTCCCCAACCTCTTTACATCATTGCACTCATAGATTATAGTAATACTGGTAAGGCATACTCAGCTAAAAAGATGAGGCCCCCTGAGGCCGGTGGGTAGAGTGGCTGGTCAACCAAGGCCATGGCTAGTCTGCCCAACAGCTGAGGGGATCCATAGCTGAGTCCTTCCTGTTATCAACTGTGGGCCCATTTAAATGCATTTGAGAAGCTCAGTCCTGCTACAGGGAAAGACTACAACACACTCTCTCTAACCCACTGCTCCTTTCTCCAAAGAATTCCTCTGACCCAGCAGTTCTCAACCTGTGTGTCGCAACCCCTTTGGCAGTTAAACGACCCTTTCACAGGGGTCACCTAAGACCAGACTGCATATCAGATATTTACATTATGATTCCTAACAGTAGCAACATTACAGTTATGAAGTAGCAACAAAAATAATTTTATGGTTGGGTCACAACATGAGGAACTGTATTTAAAGGGCCAGAAGGTTGAGAACCACTGCTCTAACCCATTCTTAAAAAATCTGTCCTATTTTTCATAAATCTGTCCTATTTTATGTGCCAATGGTAGCAAGAACGGTCTGCCCTTTGAGAGACTGAGAGTTGTCAGTCTGGTACTGATTTCCCACTGTCTTGAGAACATGGAGGTACTTAATGTCTATTGTCCTCAGCATCCTGTGACATTCAAGGAGAATCTTATAGGGCTATTCTGCTTCTATCTGTGTGGATTTGTGAAAATACAAATATAACTATATAATTTATTATCATCTACTACAATAGGAAAAGCTGATTTAATCCATTCTCCCAGTGGATTGAACAGAATTTCCTTTTTTTAAATTACTTGATAAATGCATTTTGCTCTTCCAAGTAGCAGGACCTGTGTACCTGTATGCACCCGAGGTAGCCATGCTGAGAGGCTACATGAACTGCACTGTTGCCATCCTGGTCCACTTCGTCCAATGAGATACCTTGTTCTTGCATGAACTGAAGAAGCCACAGAAGAATCTTTTCCTATAAACACAAAGAGAGTTGGAATTAATGGAATATCATGTGGAGAAATCTAATATAAAGTCAGAGGGAAACAAAAACCCCAAATTGTGAAGACAGGACATAACCACCCTTACCATATCAAGGGATAATTCCCATGCAGGGTGAACTGAAAAATCTATGGCTCTCTGAAGTCAATGAAAGAGGAATGCTCAGCGAAGTGTAAGAGCAGGAAGTTATCTCAGAATTGCTCTTCTTTTACTTAGTGTTCTATAGATGGGAGAGTTGATTTGCTGAAAGTTTGTGGACATCCTCAAAGTCTCCACGCTAGACAGATCCAATGTAGAAACCAGAATCCAGGTCTTTTGAGCCCCAGGCCATGTTTTTGCTACTTTGTTATACTGTCTGTAGGCTTCCAGAATATTATTATAAAACATTGAACTCGTGAGACAGCTAGCTCCCACTTTTAAACTTATAATGCTTCCACCAGACCTTCCTAATCCCAAAGCTCCTGCAATCAACAGGCTTACGAAAGGAGTCAACACCTTGAGTTGCCGAGTCTAAGAGAACCCCACCAAAATACAACTGGCACCCTCTTGATTTTTCTGACCACGTATTGGTCATGTTTTGAAGGCAAAGCTTTCTCTTCTTCCACATTCAGAGGAAGGCACCGATGGCTCTGAACACAAACTTTCAAAAGCAGAGACACAGAGCAGTCGGTGTGTGTTACCAGAATCCCTTTGCATTTTACCCACGGAGTCTTTGTGGTATTTTCCTGTTATGTTTGGCCCAGGCAGAAAGCAGGGGGATGGGATTTCACTGTTTTAAAATAGAAAAATGAAATAAAATGTTAAAAAAAATATGAGAGTGGTAAAAACAACAGCATGGAGTTTCGTGAGTGGAATCTGACATTTCAAAAGATGATCATGTGTTTGAAAGAGCCTTGAACCTCTCCTTAGCCTTTTAAAGGCTTTATTTCCAGTTATTTGCTCGGGCTGGTCATGAACTTTTATACTTTTCTGGATTAAATTTGCCTTCACCTTCTGAACATGCCAACTAATCTGCTAAAGGAATGTTGGATAAAAACAGCCAGCTCCTTTAATGTTTCACCCGTCATGTGGGGAGCAGGGCACTGTTTATGAAGGCATCTGGGGCATCGGGGACAGACTGAACATTTGCACCACACTTTTTCCACATGAGCAAGCAGGGAGTAAGACCCCTAAAGAGCAAGAAGAGAAAAATGTAATTGATGCCTACAGCCTAGCAAGAATGCACCCAAGGAAAGCAGAGTGAAGTGTTAGCTGCAAACACAGGCAGACCTTGTAGAAAGTGAAACCTCCCGCATCCCTAGAGCAGGAGGTGGAACAGAGCCTCGAGGCCAAGCTGGGAGGTAGAATTGGGATGAGGATCTACCGATAGGCTCAACCCTCTTCTTTAGAGACAAACTTGGGGAAAGTTGGAGCTGAAATTTGAACCAGAGCAGGTGATCTTTCACATGCATAGAGGAGGACAATTTGCTTTACGTTTCCTAATTGATTATTTTTATTTGGAGACAGATGATTGCACCATATGATCAACTTAATTCCTTAAAAGATGCTGATGAGTGGACGTGTCTCAGGGTAAAGGACATACCACCCGGTTCAAAATTGATGGCTGAGGCATAGAAACATCAAGAGGGCAGGCTGCTGCAACTTCGCAGATGCAAAAGGCAGTCTTGCCATCTCCAGCAGGTCATCCTCAAGCCTGTGGTGACTTGGGCTTACTCCACAATATTAAATCATGGGATCATCATATGCCGAGTGCGAGAGAGTTCAGCGACTCATCCAACTCACACACTTTTATTTTATGAATTAGAAAACTGAAAAAAAATAACTATTTCCTGATATTCTAGCAGCTCTTTTCTTTAGAAAGTAACGTTCAGAGGAGTTCAAGATATTTAGAAATGTTTTATAGGTACCTTCTGGTCAGGCATATTTTCATATTTTTCAGACTCAATAAGATATTATAGTGGATATGTTTATTCCACAAGCATGGAAAATGCACTTTACAGTAATTCACAGAGCTCTGACTTTCAGAAATGGGGTGGTAGGAAATGGAATACTGCATTTCATATGACTAGGAATTTTTCCTTTGTAGAAATCTGGGAAAGAATCTAGCCACCTGTTTTCTCCAACTAAGAAGGCCCTTGATGAATGCAGGGGTTGATAATCTGGGAGAACAAGTCTGTGTGAGGCAAGAGTTGCCTTGGCTCCTGATGGCTCTCCAAGTCAGGTTCAGACTATATTGTTACAATGACCTGTCTTCTTGTGATGGCATGGGTAACTCTTTCTTCCTGACAATGAAAGATCTCACCCAATTCAATAGGCAAGACTTACACAAAGGAAGGACCATCACTTGATTGTTCACAATAAGACAGGCCTTTGCCCAGCACCTCAAGTTCAGTTTTGTGTTCTGCATTGGACAATTTATTTTAATAAAAAAATAAGCCATTGGCTTGCCCACTGAGATATTATATTAGAAACAAACATCTCTTCTACGATTACCAAAAGGGTCTAGATGACTATATACCTGTTCTAACAACTTGGGATTTCTAACATCTAGGATTTCAGTTCTAACATCTAGGATTTCTGATATGGACATGGAGATAGCTAGAATCCCTGGTTTTGGTAAAAGCATTGAGCATCCGCTTTCAGAGGAAAGTTGCTTTCTGCTCTTATTTCATTGTAGAGATCCTACAATTTAGACAATTTAAACTTAAATACCTAGTAAGGAGAACCGAACAAATACAGCTGTTTTCTCCAATTAAGAAGGCCCTTGATGAATGCATATTTACCATGGTGTCCACCTCTTCTCTCTAAGACCTTTAACATCTAACACCTACCTATCACTACCCCTGCTCCTCCTAGAAGATGTTGGAGGAAGAATGCAGCTTCCAAGCTTCATTTTTCCTAAAAGTATTGCTTTCAGAGAGCATTCAATGCAGTCACATGGATGGAGAGGTTCTTCTGTATTATTTCTGTTTAACAGCATGCCTCTCCCACTTATTCTATCCATCTACCCACACATCTATCTATAGCCATTCAACTTTCATTATTGACTGAACACTTCATTCATCTACTAGTTTCATCTTCTGGGAATGTCTACGCTTTTCTTAAAGACAATGCAATTGTTTAAAGAGGCAATTAATTAATATATGTAATTTTTGAGATTGCCGAACAAAGTCTAATAAAAATGTAGTTGAAAAGTATGCTTCAGGTTATTATTGGAATGAATAAAATCCCTGCAGTTTTTGATGCAACCATAATTGTTGAAGGAGGAGCGTTCCCTGTGGTCATATATCATCAAATCTAATACATCCTCACTTATAAGATTCATTCTGGTCTAAGATGTTAAAATGTAAAGTAAATGGCTAGTAATGATTTCATAATGTCATTTATTGTGAGATAAATGTAGAATCTAGAGATAGTAAAATGTGGGGGGGAAAGTACATATAAGAATTGATTAAGAACTGAATAATTCTTTGGTAAATTTTTCTTATATTTTACTTATGGCGAAATAAACTAAGTAATATTGATAGCAATAAAAATAATAAATTGGAAGCCATCTAATCATAATAGTCAACATTTATCGACTATATGTCCACAATGGGCAGAGGTTCATGTGGCTTTTCTCATTTAGTTCTCAGAGCAATCCTGTGAGGAAACTTCTATTAACTCCATTTTTAAAAAAATCTTCACTTGAGGATATTTTTTCCATTTATTTTTTAGAGAGAGTGAAAGGGAGGGAGGAGAAAGATGGAAAAACATGGATGTGAGAGAGGCACATTGATTGATTGTGATTGGTTGCCTCCCACAGGTACCCTGACCAGGGCTGGGGATCGAACCTGCAAACCAGGTGCATGCCCTTTGACTGGAATCAAATCCTTGACCCTTCCAGTCCTCGAGCTGAGGCTCTAACCACTGAACACCAACCAGGGCTATTATCTCCATTTTAAAGATGAAGAAACTGAGGTCCAGGGAGACCTTTTCTTTAAAAAAAAAATGTATCAAGGCCATTGAGCTAGTAAGTGGTAAAGCTAAGGTTTAAACACAGACACTTGACTCAGAAGTCAATGTTCTCCATAACTCTGTTTTCTAACTTCTGAGTATGAATATTCACAACTACGCAATGCCCATGAGCCCTGGCTCCATAAATGACACCCTTGCTTTGCACCCTTTGGGCCCCAGAAACCATGGTTAGCTGCCTGTCAGTCTGTGGTGTCATGGGGCTCCGTGTTGGTTATGATTTTTCCCAGATAGGTCCTCGGAGAGCAGATGGATTCTCATGCTAATCAAAGGTTTTTCTGTTTTGCTTTCATCTGCAATTGCAGCACTCTCAGTGTGTTTACTTATTTCTACCCCATGATGGTGAAACAATAAAGTCAAAGGATTACTTCCCCTTTTAAAAGTAAATTGTGGAAAAACAGTAACACAACCTGCGGAAGCATTCCCCCTCATCAATATCTATCACTGTTCACGGCCATTCCTAGGAATTGCTAAGCCTTTTCTTTTTTTTCAAAAAGTGCCCATGCCCCCACCCACCCAAATCTGTACCAGGGCAAACATTTTTTAAAAATATATTTTATTGATTTTTACAGAGAGGAAGGGAGAGGGATAGAGAGCTAGAAACATGGATGAGAGAGAACCATCGATCAGCTGCCTCCTGTACGCCCCCTACTGGGGATGTGCCCGCAACCAAGGTACATGCCCTTGGCTGGAATCGAACCCCGGACCCTTCAGTCCGCAGGCCGACGCTCTATCTACTGAGCCAAACCGGTCAGGGCAAAGGGGCAAACATTTACAAAGGAGAATGAACACCAGAGTGTGGACAAAGGTACTCTTGGTAAATGCCCATTGCTATGATGAAGATTGTTCTTGCAGCAGAATCTCCTGACTAAAAAAGTCATGTGAATCCTTCAGAAACAAAATGATCACAGGTTTGAAGGTGAACGTAACAGCCCACTGAAGCAGCGACCAATGCAAAACAGGCTGAAGCCCCAAGCAGCTGAGGGCGAGAGCTGTGCTGGATGAGACCATCTGAACCTTCGCGTGCGAATAAAGCAGCCCAAATTACACAGGTGGTAGCCTTGACTTGAGACAATTCAGTCTCAAGGGACAGCAAAGCAGGCCTCTCGAGGCCATCCCCGCTCATTCCTGAGCCTCCCCGAGGCTCTCACCTTCACGCTCCCTGGGCTGGCTCTGTTAGGTACAATCAGGCAATGAAATAATTGCACCCTCTGAGACTTCATGTGTCAAGATGAGGAAAATCAATTCCTATCACCCAAAGCTCTATCACTGCAGGACACTACTAAAAACTGCTGCCTACCTGTGGTACTGGAGTCTTTAACGGTAAATTTTTATTTAAAAAAAAAGGACACAAATTGGGAGTCAAAGGGAGCCCATTCTTTAAGAATCTGTATGAGGGGCAGAGGGCAACTAAAATAAACCAGGAGAGGAATTTTTCTCTGTACTATCCTTTTCAGAGGTATTTACTAAGGAAACAAAACCAGAGCACACTCAAGTGCCTGCTTGATGTAGAAAAACTTGCATGTGCTGAATCCATTAGAAAACTGTTCAATAACAGTCTTCCTTGAGAAAATATTAGCCTTGTCACAGTTCCAAGTTCAGCATCTCTGCAGGTTATCTGTTATATAAGTCGCTGTGGCGATGTAGGATGGCTGGACAGAATTCACAGATCTAATGGGTTTCTCCATTTTCCCCTCGGGTAGGAATGCTCTCCCGAGGGCGCTGCTGGGCTGCCCTGCTCAGAGCTGTACTTGAGGTCATTAAAAATGCTTATCAGCTTGAAATAACAACCTGAAGATTGCTATTAGCATGAAGCAAATGTCTGACACCGCTCATCACGTAGGTCAGTAATTTCCATCTTTTCCTCTCATTCAGCCAAGTAAGCCACGCTATCACCCAACCAGTCCCAGAAAGGGCACTCTCCTTTGTTCTGTCCCAATAGCTTCCAAATTATGAGAAACCTGCTGTGAGAGTTGAGCAGGGAAACTGGCATATATAAGCAACATTTCCCAAGACAAAGAAGGCCGGATGCCCAATTATTTACTTAGAGTCTCAGAACAGGCATGCGATCCTTTCTTCCTTTTCTTTGGCAAACTTGACCAAAAGTGCAGGCAGCGTTTCTCTAATATCAAAATTCCTTGTTAGACTTTATATAAGCACATCAAATCAGGGACATGAGACAATTATTCTAACAATTTGAGAATAAACTAAATTCTATTTTATACTGAAGACTATTTCTAAAGATTAGCAGTGATTAAATTATTCTGGTCATTTGAAAATTGTCTTCTGCTCTTTGCCAGTGTAAGTCAAAAAAATGGGGGAGGGACAGCCTTAGCAAATGCTTATTAACTATTACGATTGTTTGTAGGATACCATGGCTGTACAATACACACACAAAATGGAGTAATCCTTTCAAAGACAGTGGCTTCTACAAATTTTAAATGTTCTTCCTGCTCTTTTCTTCATTTTCTAAACTTAGTACAGGTGCTCACTTCTTCAATGAGCTGCAACAGGTACTCTATATATCACAAAGTATTGTTAGATAAAATGGTAAAAAAGATTTCTGCGGCTAAATCAATGCCACTGTGAGTGAGTTTTACAAATTACAGAGAGAGAAAACAGAATCTAGCCCCGAAGTCAGAGGACTTGAGATCCGGTCTTTGCTCTTACTAGCCTTGAGACTTGGGCAAGTCACTTAGCGGTCTTGCTTCAGTCCCCTCTATAGTATAGAGTGGGGACAAAAACATGACCTAACAGGGTTGTTTTAAGGAATAAGTAGGTAATGTACACAAATTCTAATGGCATGGTGCCTGGTAACATATGGAAAACAGTACATATTAATATATATTTTAATTGAAGTCACGAAGACTCCCACTAAAAAAAAAAAGACTGTAGTAATATTCTCCAAGTCAGTTTTTTGAACTTGAAATTGTCATGCTTGAAAAAGCATAATCTCTTGTTGACAATATCACAATTTACTGCCACTGCGGAAAGTTTATGAAGCCAAAGGGGATACGGTTATATGCATGAGAAGCAATTTTCTTTGCCACAAACAAATATGAGTGAGTCTATTTTAATATAGTGCTGACTTTATTTATTTTTCAAAGACTGAGATTGGCATTTTGTGGTCCAACTTTTTTTAATAAGATAATTTATATTCATTCCCTCCAAGGCTACAGTCAGGGCACATACAAGCAGCAACCAATCCATGCATGGATAAGTGGAACAATAAATTTCTCTCTCTCTCTCTCTCTCTCTCTCTCTCTCTCTCTCTCTCTCATCACTAAAAAGAGAATATCAGCTTTCTTCTTGACAGAAGTTAAATGTTTTTATTGTAGAAAATTTGGAAAACACTTAAAAATACAAAAGAAAAAAAGCCACATGTAATTCCACTCTGAGTGATAACTACTATAAATAGCAGTGACACAATTTTTTTTTTAGTCTTATTACCTGTTTCTCTTTCTCTCTCTCTCCAAAGTTCAAATTTGGTACCCAATTACAGGAACAGTTTTGTATCATAAATTTTAACCTAAATATTATATAATGGACATTTTCCTATAAAATTTCATCATATAAATATAGCTTCATTATTTATCTAATATCCTCCTATGGAATTTTAAGTTGTTTTAGAACATTTTTTCATTAAAATGCTCAGTGAATGTGATTGCTTATAAATCTGATAATTAAAAATTCTTCATACCTGGCCAAAGCCACCTGCATAATGAATAAGGCTTGGGAAATCCTTAGAACAACTCAGTTCTGCAATGGCTTCCGTTTCACTCACCATCCAGCGCACGCACTCTAACTGACCATTCTAGATTTTAGAAAAAAGGGAAGAAGAAAGAAATTTAATTTTTACTTTTGTATCAGACTTTATTTACAACATAGGTATATCGCCTATTATATTTCTGATATGTGGCTCTGGGTCTAAATAAACGATAGAATTTATTTAAGCACATTTTCATAATTTTCATCAGTTATTTTAAAGTTACTGTATTAAGGTATAATCTGTGTACGATAAAATGTACCCTTTTAAAATACACAGTTTGATGAATTTTGGCAAACAAATACTCACTTGTATCTACAAGTCCAATCAAGATTAGAACATTTCCATCACCCCACCCCAAAACATTTCTGCTAGCCTTTTGCTCTCATTCCCCTCACCTTTGCCCGAGGCAACCCCTGGTATGGTTTCTATCACCATAAAATTTTATCTCTCTTTTGCATCTGGCTTCTTTCATTCAGCATAATGCTTCTGAGATTCATCCAAGCTATGGCTTATATTAATAATTCATCCCTTTTTATTGCTGAGAAGTATTCCATTACATGCATATATCACATTTTGGATGCCCATCAACAAACTAAAGAAAGACAAAGTAATTCCAGTCTACTGGCCCCAATGCTACTTTCCCTGAAGGCTTCCCTGACTTGTGTCCACCAGAGCTCTTCCCTCCTGTGTCGAGGTCCCACACTGTGCGATCCAGGAATGTGGTTGTGATATATATAACCTAGTGACCAAGACCCAGACTTTGTAATGGATTTAAGTCCTTAATTTACCACTTAGTTACAAGACCTTGATCAAGCTACGTCACCTCTCTGATACTCAATTTTCCCCTCTGTGAAACAGCGGGGTGAGCAGTAACCACCTCATAAACGTGCTGTGGAGATCAAATGAGACGAAGCACGTCAGCTTACTAAGCACACAACACTTGCCACCTTATCCTATCAAAGTGCTCTCTGAGACACTCACTCTGTAAGACAAATGAGGCATTCAGCTGCTTCCCGGGTTTGCATGGTGTGGGACCCAGCAGAGGAATAAAGAGCTACTATGGCATGAGCTCAGGGAAGTCTACTCTAAAAACAAGACAGGGGAGGTAATCTGCTCATTCTTCATTTACTGCTACAGAGTTTCAAGGAGTCATCTCACAAGTATACACACGCAGAGTCTATTCCCTCCATTTGGAATATCTAGCATAACCAACCGGGGGTTTATTGAACAGCTTCCTGGTGCCTCATTCACATCTATTGCCTCCCTCTCTGCCCTCCTTGCTGCCTGGAGAGGCTGATCTGAATGCATTGGCACCCGTGCCCCCTGGCTTCTGGCTCGTTTTGACTGATGGAGAGTTTTGGCAAGAGACCAAGAAAGGAGAGTGAGTTTGAGATTCCCTCTGCTCCTGGCTCCCGTTCCCCCTCTATGGGGTTGTCATTGGCTGGCTGAACCAATGACAGTCAAAGGTCAAAGGTCAGCCAGTCTTCTATGCAGCCATCTCTCTCTCATGTCCTTTCCCAATCCCTTCAGGCTCTGGGGTGGTAACTGTGCTCTGGTTGTGACCCCCAGATATTGTGGGCTTCCTACACCCTACCCACCCTCCTCTGGTATATAAATCCTTCATTACTGACTTTCCTTGAGTTATATAATTTGAACACTGCCAAGTGTTTTCTACCAGGATTTAAAAAATCACACTGATATAATGTGCTTCATTCCCTCTGGATGAAGAAAGGAATGGGACCATATTGAGCATCTCTTAGGCAAGACAGTTTATATAAACTGGCATTTACACAGAATACAGAAATAAGAGGCAACATTTCTGATTTTAATAATTGGGTCTTTTCTCTTGGTCTAACTAAAGGTTTATTAATTTTTTTATCTTTTCATAGAACTAAATTGGGTTTTGATGATTTTCTCTATTGTTTTTCTATTCTCTATTTCATTTATTTCCACTTGGATGTTTTTATTTCCTCCCTTATGTTTGCTTTGAATTTAGTTTGCTTTTCTTTTTGTAGTTCCCTAAAGTAGAAGGTTAGGCTATTGATTTGCTATCTTTTTTCCTCTTTCTTTAACATCGACATTTATAGCTATAAATTTCCCATTTAAGCACTGCTTTAGCTCCTTAATGTTGCATTTTCATTCATTTCCAATTATTTTTCAATTTCCCTTGTAATTTCTTCTTTGATGCAATGATTATTTTAGAGTTAATTCCATATACTTGTGAATATCCCAAAATTCCGTCTGTTATTGATTCCTAATTGCATTCCATATGGTTGAAGAACATACTTCATATGATTTCAATCATTTTAAATTTATTGAAACCTGTTTTATGGTCTAACATACGGTTTATTCTGGAAAATGTTCAATGTGCACTTGAGAAGAACTCTGCTGTTGTTGGGTAGAATGCTTTGTTACATGCCTAGTAGGTAGACTTATTCAAGAATGCAACCTTTAAATAGGGCAAAAATAAATATATCACTAGTATGGGTTTGAAAGCAATATCACCTGCCACAAATAGAAATACCAAGAAAACAAAAAATGTTATTAAATTCTAGTGGGAGTTTTTGCCTGCTAGTCTCTGCGCCTGGGGTCACTCACTGTATGTTATAAAGGAATGTCAGTTGGTTGAAGTCATTTTTCTCACCAAACCAACGTTTTCTCTTAGAGCTTCATCAGAGGGACTGAATGAGAAAAAGTAATTAAAGTAATTTCATTCCCAGTCTGTTTAGCTCCTAAAATAATTTCTTGTTATAGCCCCATTTTAGAAAACACAATGCTTACACCTTATAGAAATTGTCTTTCCAAAGGGCCCTCAGTAATGCTCTGAATTCCTACAGTATCTAGTGTTGGGTCGCCCAGAAAACACCCAATAAATTCTGCATGTAAGTGGCAAGAATTTATGATGTTCCATTTAAAGAGTTTATGAGTGGGAGAGAGATGTTCTTAAGCCTTGGTATTTCTTCAAAGCTCCTTTTTTCCCCCTCCTCAGGTAATCTTTTTATTTGATACTCTGTCTCTGCCTCTGCTTCCTGTCTGCTTCAAGTCATATGATCTGAGTAACTTCTGCCCCTTTTACCAAGTTTGTTTGCTTGAATGACAACAGGGCTGTCAGAACTGTGCTTTATGAGGTGGAACACCACCAGCCTGATACTGGTGTTCAAAACAAGCTCCTAAAACAGAAAATGCAGACTTCTTAGGACTCTCTCCGGATTCATGTTCTCCAACTACACTGAATACACCAAAGTAGGACATATGTCAAGACAGATTTCTAAAGAGAGTGGCACTGGTTATAAAATATTTGTGTTTACTGCTTTTGTGAAATCTAGGTTGAATGAAAGCATAGAAGAAAACTTCCATTTCTCAAATCAATGTCCAGAAGAAAAGGCTGGGGCCCCAAATCTATAAAATCTTTGAGTCTTATGGGTTTGTATGTGTTCTTCATTAAAACAAACAAAAGTGCCAGGTTTTGCCTACTGATTGTGTTATGGCAATACTATGTTGACTGGAGGAGTTCAAGAACGAATAACACTTACTATGGATACCACAGAGGGAGTTTATGTCCAGGGTTAGCTTAATGACCATTAAGTTTCTTATGTACCTTATTACTTTAAAGGTTCTTAACTTATCAAAACAGGACTAGGGCATATAAATTATGAAAACATTTTTCATCCAACTGTACTAGTATAGTTAGAATATATTCAATAATTTAGCATGAGTCAGGAAAACTATACATTAGAAGTTATAAATATTTTATAAACACTAAAACATGTAGTGTTCTAATGTCAATGTTCATTGGCATTGCAAGAATATTTTATTCATTGCTGGCACGTGCCCATTGATGACCAGACCCAACCCCTATCTTCCCACAGGACTCTGACAATGGGCTAGATCTTGAATTTTCCATCTACACTTGAATTGATGATAATGTACCCACCTTATCCACTGGGCTATCAGCTTCTTAAGAAAAGGGATTATGTCTCATTCAAAGTTTTATTACCATCACCTAACACAGTACCCAATGGACTTGGTACATATTGTTGAACTCAACTATGCTGAACCTTGACTTCACATTTGGTTTCTCTTTCTTCGTGATGGTTGCCTGCAGGTCAGCTCTTAATTTGACATAGTATCACAACTAAAGAAAAATGATATTCACTGAGCTTGTTGTTTTACCAAAAAATTATTTTTTACACTATCTTTGAAATAATACCTTATAATTGGGTAAAACTAAATAAAACAGAAAACAACTTTTAATATATAAGACTTTACTAAATGGTAAATAAAGGTATAAAAATTCAGATTTGCATAAAAGATATATTAGGGGTAAGACAGCAATGGCTTGCTTTTAAATGTTATATGGCCATAACCGGTTTGGCTCAGTGGATAGAGCGTCGGCCTGCAGACTCAAGGGTCCCAGGTTCTATTCTGGTCAAGGGCATGTACCTTGGTTGCGGGCACATTCCCAGTAGGGGGTGTGCAGGAGGCAGCTGATCGATGTTTCTAACTCTCTATCCCTCTTCCTTCCTCTCTCTAAAAAATCAACAAAATATATTTTAAAAAATGTTATATGTTCTTTGGTGATTTCATAAGTAGATTTCTTTAGCTAGTAAGTTCCCCTAATAAATTTCAATATAATTTCATTAATAAAAGTTATGATTATTCAGCTTTCAGAAGACATTATTATGTGAAGTACAAGATGTATTATATTTCCCTAAACTTCATTTCTAGCTTCGTAATAAATATGACTGAATTCCACATTTATTTGCCAAAGTCCTTAAAAGTAATTTTAGTTTAATAGCTAACCTCCTAGTGATGTGTGATATATTTCACAGAGGTGCTCACTGCAAGGCTAAAAAAGACCATGTCTTTCAGTATCACAGTTTCCAGGGTTTATCTCTGTCCCAGTCAGCATTAATTTGTGTAGTTTTGACACAGAGCCTACTATGCTCTGCAGTAGCTAAACACACACTCGGCACCGATATTCCAAACAACGCATGATCCTGAAGACACCTAAGCTTCAGATATGATCTGCGAGAAGCCCACTTCATTGTCTAAAATACTCCTGAGGGCTACTACCTCTTTGTCTTATTCATTATACTCACATCAGGGGAAAATAAAACAGCCTCCAATAGATCCAGGTACAGTTCAGAGTCTAAACTGCAGTCTCCATGAATAACAGAAGTTCTCAGCAATGCAAGAGACCAGTGCCCTTTCTCTTTACTAGCTGATTTGAAGCTCACCCTCGTTGCACAATAAATTGGAATGCAGTCTCAAAATCTCAAAGCAGTTAGGGAGTGAAATGATTCATCTCTTAAATATAACGTGCATTTGCTGTTTGCTTGGTATCGCACTCTTCTCTCCCTCTCCATCCCAGCACTTTAGCTCACTAGGAATCTTAAAAAATAGAAATCTAACTTTTAGCTGTGGAGAGCCCAGCCCCAACCACTCACCTTGATGGCCAGGCCCGCTGGAGTCAACTTCGCGGCATTCCGCTCATTGAGGAAATCTTCTCCCATCAAAGAAGTGAGGTGCTGCAGGCACTCCGCGTGGCCCTGCGACGCGGCAATGTGTAAGAGATTGTTTCCACTTTCGTCATGGATTTTGTCTAGATTGTCAGCAGCTAGGTGTGGCTGTACAAATAGGAAGATGGGAAAAACTCAAGTCAATAAATCCAAATGACACACTCTGGGGGTTTTGCTCTGGGTGCTGAGAAGAAGAGAAAACCTTCCAGGAGCCCTGGTGACAGTCATTAGAGCCCGATAAGTCAGAATTCCTTGCTATAAATTCTAATGCTTTTTTTTTTTAAAATATATTTTATTGATTTTTTACAGAGAGGAAAGGAGAGAGATAGAAATAGAGAGTTAGAAACATCAATGAGAGAGAAACATCGATCAGCTGCCTCCTGCACATCTCCCACTGGGGATGTGCGCGCAACCCAGGTACATGCCCTTGACCGGAATCGAACCGGGGCCCTTTCAGTCCGCAGGCCGACGCTCTATCCACTGAGCCAAACCGGTTTCGGCAATTCTAATGCTTTTCCATTACGTTGTTATATTATGCTTCAGAACATAAAAGCTCAAGAGACTTATTTTCATGTGAGACATGGTGACAGGGATAGGTCGCAAGCTTGGGGGGGTTCCAAGCTGGCCTGGAAACCACTGCGATGACATTTATAGTAACTGGCAGGTTCCCTGTCTCTCCCCTCCACTCCAATGCTAAGTCCTGAGGGCCAGGTTGTGCTACGTTCCCTGCTGTACATTTGTTGAAAGGATGAACTACATCTCTCAACCATCTGCTTTGCCTTGAACCATGGAGAACTGGCTTGGACTGCAAGCTAGCTGGTGGCTGCTGTGACTAGTGCTCCCAGGGTCCCTCTAGACACTTCCATCCCCAGACATGCTCTGGGGGCATCGGGAGGCTGCCTGCCTTTGGTTTTCTCACCTCCCGTGAAGTCATCCCCTGAGTACAAACTGGTCAATAAAGACCGTTTGTTAAATTGAGAGGTGCTAATCATTTGGGAAATATGGGAAGGACAAAAGGAAGAAATGAACCAAAGAGAAATAGAGAAGAAGAGCCAAGAGAAATGGAAAAGACATTTTTAGGAGGGAAAAAAAAGTATTACTTTATTAAAATTACTCAATCATATCATCCTATTATAACAGTAAGATTTGTGATAATACAGCAAACACACTGTACTTATCTACCCATGGTTTTAACCTAAGTAGAATCACACTGCCAGGATGTGATGGTTTTCCTGAATGAGACTTCAATTAACATCACTGTATTAGCCCAGGCTTGCTACTGTTTCATCCAAGTCTGGAAGCCAGAAAAGAACAAGGCAGGCAGATGGAGTGTGATTTCACTTCAGCTCCCTGAGCCTAAGCAGAACAGACTTTTCTTACATCATGTTACTCTGTGTCTAGAGTCTTTAGAAAAAGCTTCCTCATGCTCCCTAGACATGCGGAGCTGGAACTAGTCACAGCCCCATGTGGCTCAGAGGGCAATCAAGCTCCAGGGTAAGCATCTATCTGCAAATGCTTCCAAACATCCTGGTCCAACTCTCCGGAATAATAATCAGGATAAAACAGAAGACCCTCTGTTCACGTATCTGGCAGGTCCACCTTCGGCAAGAAACTGACATCCCCACAAAGAAGTGAGTGAGAGCACTGGAAACCATTGGAAAGCAAAAGAAAGACATTAAGATTCAAGTGAGAGAGAAAGTGCTGGGCTTTTCTGTTTTGTTTTTGTATTAGATTAAGTGTCCTGATTCCAGTTGAATTTATGCAAACTTAAAGTGAAATAACACTCCCTCTACAGTCATTTGTTTTTCCCTGCCTTAACCTCCAAATTTTTATTTTAAAACTCTAAAGTCAAACCACCTAACTAAAACCACAAGTAAAGACTGCATCACCCATGGACACAGACAGTAGTGTGGTGAAGGCCTGGGTGTTGGGTGGGTCCAGGGTGGAGGGGGTCAATCGGGAAGGAGACATCTGTAATACTTTCAATAATAAAGGTACATTTTTTAAAAAGAATGGGAACCAATGCATCTTCATTCTGTTATTAACGAATGGAGCGGACACACTAGTCTCTGCATGACTCCTATTGATGCTGAATGTGCTCATACTTACCAGGAGAGAGATCTGTCCTTCTTTAACGATGTTCAAGATGCTTTTTACTTTTTGCAGATACTCAGTCCTTTCTTCGGGGCCTTGGGAGCTGGTCCAGCTCAGGCCGCCGACCTGCTCTTCCAGTTTGGGCTCCGCTGCGGAGGTCTGCAGGTGGAAGGTCCTGAGCTGGCAGTCCGGCAGGGGCCTCTCCACGTTTCGGCTGTGAGCATCACTGAAGGCCTTGCTGAGGAAGTCCTTGCTCTGGCTTTCCGGCTCATAGGCAGCAGAGCCACACTTGGCCAGCGGCGGCGAGCTCTCTGCGTCTTCCGGGGAGAGCTTAGGCTGGTCGCGGAGGACAGAGGATGCTTTTCTCGGGTGAGGGCTTTTCACGGGAGAAAGGACACAGAAGGGTGTGGTGTTGGACGGTGAGTTCTCAGCATTTCCTGTCGCGCAGACTTTGCCAGAAAGGCCGTTGATGGTTGTGCATAAGCCCAAGACTCTTTTTTCTGCAGCCGCCTTGGGGAACGGGGCGAGCTGTTGGCTGGATTTAATGTAAGGCACATCCAGAATCTCATCCATGTCCAGGTCATAGTGCTCCAGTTCGCCCAGCAAGGCGCTGGGCTCCGTGGTCTTCGTCTGGGGGCCGCCCTCTCTGTCTCCCCCGGGGCTGAGCTCTTCGGGTTGGGGGTCTGCGTCAGTGTCCCCCCCTTTCTGGTACTCTGCCTTCTGGTTCTTTTGGTCATCACTTTCGTTGTTGTCCAGAGTCTCCGGCTGATGTTTCAGCGGGGACACGCGCTTCACGGGGCGGAATTTACTGTACACGTCCGCGATCCCTGTGGGCTTCTGCGCGTTCGTAATAAGCGTCGTGACGCTGCAATTCCAGCCGGAGCTAGAAACTGTGTTAAAATAAGTCAGAGGAGATTATTCCATTGAAACACTGAAAACATCTTGGCCAGGCCGGCAGACACGGCCCACTCAAGTGATGCTCAAAGTAAGCGCCTGTGTAAGGGGGCCACTTAGAACGTGGATCATAAAACAAACAGTGCACTTACCATTGGAAAACAGTGAAAGAGAAGACCGTTATGATATGTCGGCTCAGAATTAATTAAAGCAGTGGGAATGGTGAAAGCCGACAGCTGAAGAAAACAAACGCAGACAGGTATTTAGGTCTGTTCCCTGGACAGCTGCACCTGCCTGGCAAGGATCTGGATACTTGTCCCCACCCTGGAGAGTAGAATGGGAGGGCAGGGTCCTCTGGGTTAAATGCACTTCCAGACTGTTTAGGGAGAGGAAGGATGTAAGCGCACACATTCACACATGCACCCACACACACACACACACACATGCACACATGCCTACAGACACCCCTGTCACCTAAGAAGGCCTGTATAAAGGAGGGCTAACTTGTTTAATATTGGGCAAATGGTGGCCGACTGGGTGATTCACCAGGTGATCGGTTAGATGCATGCGGGAAAGAACACGGAGGAATGCAGTGGTCAGGAGTTGACAGGACCCTGGGAGATAAGCCGTGGGTTCGCAACCCCATCTCCCCCTAGCCTGAGCACGCCAGTCTACCGCTGCTCAGGGGCATTTCCCGGTGCTGCCCGGCATACGACACAGCAACATAGTGCACCGACACTTTGCAGCTGAACTGAGCTCTTGAAGATTCGATGCTGCCTCCACTGTCTGACAAGCTGGAAATAAACAGGAGGAGAAGGACGTTGCAGAGGGAGGGTGAGGTAGGCAGGCCTGTGTGTGTGTGTGTGTGTTCTTATTTCTGTTCAAAGCTTAGATAAACACTATACGGTTTGCATTTGAGTAAGTGTCTGGTTGAGATGGAGTATAACGCGAAACAGCAACACATTGGAGGTGAAAGGTAAGAACCACCACTTCTCCCAGTTAGCGTCTCGGTGCAGGATGGTGGAGCAGCATCCTCAGACACCAGGATACTGCTTCCTCTCGGGGAGACTCCCCTGACGAGATGACAGATGACCCAGGACGCTGGAAACCGGAGGCCAGCGGTTGATAGATCCCTACTCCCCTTCCACTCAGTTTACACCATCCCCCATCGAAGGGGTGAGGTTTCAGGACATGCCCTCCAACCAGGGACCTCTCATCTAGCTATCCTTCTGGGACAACAGCAGATGGGAAGGTTTTAACCCCAAAGCATGTTTTTGTGTCTGTTCTTTGCTGTTGGGCACAACAAAAGAGACAGGAGGTATGTATACTCCAGTCTATAACTTCTGCAAGAGTCTCCGGCTACCACTGATTGTGAGGGTGAAAGTGGGAGTTATTAAAAGTTTGGAAGGAGTTATAAAAGTTTCCAAAATTCAAACCATGGTCATCCTTCCTCCTGCTAGGATGTGTTCTAGGAGGAGTCAGAAGGGTTCTGTAACAAAGCTAAGGAGAAGAGAGTGAATGTTCTGAGCCTGAATGCCATACAACTGTGGATGGGTTCTTTCTCCAAGACTGACCTCAATTATGCAGGGGTTTTCAGAGGGTCTCCACTATGTGATCCTCCTCTGAGGCCCTTCTAGCTCTGGCATTTTAGAATCTAAAAGGAGAATATTATAAGCTGTGAGGTGAGGCTTGGATTCTGTCCAGTACAGAACAGGTAGGGAATGTTCCAGAAGGAAGGAAGGGATCGACATGCTCTTGTGCTGCTGCATCTCTTCCCTTTCGTTGGCTCTGGCTCTTAGCTGTACACAGGACTTGGCACAGAGCTGACAATTAACAAACGCTAGTATTTGGATTTGAATCTCACTTTGTACAACACATTAAGCCTCCTTTTTAAATGCCCAAAGTGCATCCTTCCCAGGGATTTACAGCTTAATTTCACAAGGGAAAGAACTTCTGCTAATAAACTTGGAGGAGCACTAATTACCAGTAAGAGCTGGATTTTCTGAAGTTATGCATGAAATGTAAATATGCAAAAGGCAAAGACTAATTCCAGTTGGTCCATTATAAATTTAGAAGTTTTTCTATCCCTTCTATGTCCCTTTCTACCTGAAAATGTAAAGCTATGAAAAAACTAAAGTCTGCCCAAATTTTTTGCCAAGGCTTTCTTTTCTCTCTTCCTTTCAAGAACACATGGTTACTTACTTATTTAAAACAACAGAGAGATAATGGACATAGAGTTTATAATATGTAAATATGCCTTTAATTTTATCTGTTAATTTTCTGAAGTGTATATATATATATATATATATATTCACATTTCTGAGATACATACTTGTTAGGTGATGCTGTTTGCTAATATTTTTGCCAATTACCTTAATTTCTTTGGAACTTCTTGAAAATGTGCATCTCAGGATGTAATAAAGAATTTTTAAAGGCACATAACTTAGTGGGCCAGTACAACGAGTGCATTGTACCAATATATTTATGTATTGCATAAGGTCGTGGGTTCAAAGGGCTACTCTTTTATGTTGGCTTTATTTACATGTGAAATTTTTTCCAAGTGATACAGGGAAATGGATACCATATGTTCCCCAGCTGTTTTGTTCTGACAGGAGCCATTAAGAACGCTCTATGGAAATGAATTCTGTCTGAGTCTTATGAAAACACTTCTCTCCACACAAGGGTCCAGAAACTGAAGAACGGGTGTCAACATTAGGCTTGTTGTCCTTCCCCTTACTCAAACGGATGACTCTTTTTTAGGCCAAAAGTGAAATCTATGCTTTCTAGTCTGTGTCTCGACTACTGGGAACAAATCCCAGTCATGAGAAATGGATTATTTAACAGGTCTTCATGAGAATACTCTATATTACTATATCACATCCTCATCTGAGAAGGACAATTTTACATGTGTGCAAAAGATAAAATTCAATGAGTTTATTTCTCCTAAGCTGGGCAAAAGGGTACTTTAAACACAACACAAGAAAAGGGGCTATTAATTACTGTAGTTCTACCCCAACATCATAATAAATTTCTTATAATACATGGAAACAAAGTTCAGACTAACTATGGTAACTAGGAAGATTCTGAGGCTAAATTTGTTTTCGGAGGACCATGAATAAATATTGCACATGTTAACAAACTTTAAATGCCTGAAAATTTTATGCTATCTTATTAGATCTTTACAAGCTCTGTGAGAACAGGGCCTGTGAGTAATTAATCTCTCTATTCCTTACATAAGTAGGGTCCTAATGGCTTTAGGTTGAATGGATTCATTTTTTAACATCTTACCAAAGTAAACTTGTCCAATACACCTTAAATCTGTTGGCTGATTAGGTCACAAATTTTCTAAAATGGTCAGTAGGTAAGTGGAAGTGTATGTGAGGCTGACTTATAGGCCACAATGATCTCTTCCAATCTAACTGGCATTTAGAATGTCTCTGATCACCAGCAAGATATTCCCAATTGCCTGCTGACCATCCATTTATTCAACAAGCATTTACTGTGAGTCTAGGAATGGCTAGCATTTGTCGCTGGCAGCACGTTCTGGTTTAGGGGTCTTATCCCTCTCCAGTCGTGCCTGCTTTCACAGTCTCACAAGCAGTCCACCTCCAACGCATGGCTCACCCTTCTCTCTCTCTATATATATATTTGTAATAATATGTTTCTATTGATTTCAGAGAGAGGAGGGGGGAGAGGGAGAGAGAGAGATAGAAACATCAGTGACAAGAGAGAGAATCACCCATCAGCTGCCTCCTGCATGCCCCACCTACTGGGGGTCGAGCCCACAACCGGGGCATATGCCCTGACCAGGAATCAAACTTCAACCTCCTGGCTCACCCTTCTCTTCCCTTGATCACT